ATGTGGGGCTTGATCCCAGGACGCTGGGATCATGACCTGAGCCGACTGAGCCACCCAGGCGCCCCGAGACCTGTTTTCTAATAGTATGCCTTGATTTAATATTGAGGCAGAACATTAGTCCTGCACACTGGACTTTTTTTTCTGGTTCTTCCCCTCCCTACTCTATTGCTGATGGTGTTATCCTGACCTTTGTTTTCATGCCTGCTCTCCCATTCCTATCTCATCCACATTTCTATGATACTTTATATAAATTTCTACTCTAATTCTTACCACATTGTATTTTAGTTACTTGCTTTTTATAGCTCTCCTCCTTCCTTTGTGAGTAGCATGTCTTGGTTATATAGTTTATTCCTAGCACCTAGCTGTGGTACACAGCATGCTTTCACTAAATGTTTTTGTCAGATTATTGTACCTAGAACTTAACCCAGATTTTGACAGGCTTGTCATTGTTTCATAATTCAAGCTGTTTATGGTGGCTCAGCTAGATCTTCCTCTCCTTTATAATTTTGGCCAGCCTTAGTTTTTTTCAGAGGCCTAGATCTCATCTTCCAGCTCAGCCCTTTTCCATACCAGTATTTGACATTAGGAAGATTTGGACACGAGTTCTGTTGACACAGTACACATCTTTCTTTTTTCTTCTCTCTCTTTTTTTTAAAGATTTTGTTTATTTGAGAGAGAGAGGGAACACAAGCAGGGGGATTGGGAGAGGGAGAAGCAGACTTCCCACTGAGCAGGGAGCCCAATGTGGGGCTCAATCCCAGGACCCTGGAATCATGACCTGAGCTGAAGGCAGACACTTAACCGACTGAGCCACCCAGGCGCCCAGTACACATCTTTCAGAATAATTATTGTAATTGTTTTTGTCAGTGTTGATTAATTTGTTAAATATTTATTGACTGTCTGCTATGTGCTAGGAACTGTGCTGGGGATACAACAGTGAACATTTTAGGGCGCCTGGGTGGCTCAGTCGGTTAGGTGACTGCCTTCGGCTCAGGTCATGATCCCGGAGTTCCGGGATCGAGTCCCACATCGGGCTCCCTGCTCGGCAGGGAGCCTGCTTCTCCCTATGACCCAACCCCCTCTCATGTGCTCTCTCTCATTCTCGCTCCTTCAAATAAATAAATAAATCTTAAAAAAAAAAAAAAACTGAACATTTTACATACATGGAAATTGAAAAGTTGGATGACAGGTATAAGATAATATGTTAATGAGAACTGCAGCTGGATCCTAGGTCTCCTGGCTGATCTATAGGGTAGAAGGGAGTTACTGTGAGAGGTTAGAGTAGTATAGTTGGGATGATACGTGTGTGAAGGGGTTTGCCTGTGATCATTCTAACCTCTACTTGAGTATTTTTTTTTTTTTAGATTTTTTTTTCTTTTTATTTGACAGAGAGACAGCAAGAGAGGGAACACAAGCAGGGGGAGTGGGAGAGGGAGAAGCAGGCTTCCCACGGAGCAGGGAGCCCGATGCGGGGCTCGATCCAGGACCCTAGGATCATGACCTGAGCCGAAGGCAGACGCTTAACGACTGAGCCACCCAGGCGCCCCTCTACTTGAGTATTTTTAATAATTGAGAGCTCAGTCTTTCAAAAGGAAGTACATTACATTTATTTAAACCATATTGGAGGTTCCATTTGGCATACCAATAACCTGGTCCACCCTTTCAGGGTGGTCAGATTGGGTCAGAGTATAAACTCAATTCAGGGTTATCTGGGAATGGATGGTTGGGAGAGTTCTGTGGGGTGTTCTGTCTTGGCTGCCAGAAGAGTAGTTAACTGGTGTGTAGTGGCCAGATAGAGGGCGCCTGCTGTTGGTGTTGCTGTGCATCTTGGTGTGGTCACTGTAGAATCAGGTCAGTATGGTCCTTGTCATATTTGATGGTTCAGAAATTGCTTACTGACAAGTGTTGAGAAAAGAGATCACATTAATTAAGAGATCTAAAAACAGGTTTATAAATCAAAATACCAACTTATAGTGATAGATGTATGCCTGGCTCAAGATCTGGAATCTCTCTAAAGCAGAGATTCTCTCCTCCTGGGGGTCTAGGCTGAGATCAAATTAAAAATCAGAAGGTTGCTTGCTTGGTAAGCATAGAATTAGGAGTCAGTTGAATATTCTGTTCCTGTGAGCTTCAGGTTACAAGGAGTTGGACTTATTTTACTTGGGGGGGGTGGTATTTCTCTGTTAACTGCTGCTAGACATTTGAGATCAAACCACCCAGACCTGTGGGAAGAGACTGCTGTACTCGTCCCCTTCTACTTTTTTGATATTCAGTTGTCAAAAAAGCCTCTGTCATTACTAATTTCCCTTTTTTTTAAAAAATATTTATTCGACAGAGAGAGACAGCGAGAGAGGGAACACAAGCTGGGGGGGATGGGAGAGAGAGAAGCAGGCTTCCTGCTGAGCAGGGAGCCCAATGTGGGGCTCCATCCCAGGACTCTGGGATCATGACCTGAGCCGAAGGCAGACACTTAACGACTGAGCCACCCAGGTGCCCCAACTAATTTCCTTATGAAGCATAGAACTGGTTAAGATTTCCAGGAGTCGTACTTATTTTATATTCCCTGTTACTTGGGTAATAAATGAAATCTATTATTCTGTGAGATTTGTGGTAGTTTGTGCTACTTAATATGATCTAGAAATAGCTTACCTTTACCATCTTCACTTTGATTCCTGTAACACTCTCCATAAAAGACTAATGTATTTTCCATTTCCACTGAGTGCTTTCTGTGGGCACACTGACCTTAGTCCCTGTTTTTTCTCTAGGGTCATCTAGTAGCAGACACCCAAATCAGGCAACTCCAAAGAAAAGTGGCTTAAAGAATGGCCAAATGAAGAATAAAGATGACGAGTGCTTCGGGGATGATATCGAAGAGATCCCAGACACAGATTTTGATTTTGAAGGGAACCTGGCCCTCTTCGACAAGGCAGCTGTGTTTGAGGAGATTGATACCTATGAGCGGAGAAGCGGTACCCGTTCCCGGGGCGTCCCAAATGAAAGGCCAACTCGGTACCGCCACGATGAGAACATCCTGGAGTCGGAGCCCATTGTCTATCGGCGGATCACAGTGCCCCACGGTGTGAGCAAGGAGTTCTGCACGGGTGAGTTGCACAGGCCTGCATCCCACCGGCTGCTCTCCCCTTTCGGTTACGCTGAAAAGAGAATAACCTAAATTCTGAATCAGAGTCTTGTAGTAGGAATTAACTGAAGTGGCTTTGTGGTTAGCTATTATTATTGTCTCTTGGGAAATGTGGTTAATATGGCATTCTACCTACCAGGGGGTATGTGGGGGTGTGGGGTAGGGGGCTGATTTCATGTCCATTTATATCCACATCTGACAGGTTCTGGTCTGCTCTTTATTTAGTGTGTCATGATTAACAACTAAAGGCATAGGAGCCAGCTGTCTATATTCACATAATCAGATCTTTGGCTTTTCACTTTGGCTTGCCTGTTACTACCTGTACATTTCACCAGAAGTTCAATTCTGTTTTACTAGTTGTTGGGGTAAAAAACAGAGATGGATGGCTGAAACCACTGGCTAAAATTGGGGTTTCAATAAATTACATTTGTTTACTATACTATCCTCATCTACTACCCCTGGTCAGGGAGGGTTTGGCCAGTCCTGTTTCTCACGTAACAGAGTAGTGCCTTGGTAGTTACGTTGGTCATTGTATACGATAGTCTAGTCTGTTGCCTCAGTGGTTTTAACATTAGGATCTTTTCTTCAAACGTGGCATTAGGGGGGCACCTGGGTGGCTCAGTCGTTAAGCGTCTGCCTTCGGCTCAGGTCAGGATCCCAGGGTCCTGGGATGGAGCCCCGCCTCAGGCTCCCTGCTCATTGGGGAGTCTGCTTCTCCCTGTGACACTCCCCCGTCTCATGCTCTCTCTCTCTCACTCTGTTCTCTCTCAAATAATAAAATCTTAACACACACACACGCACGGCATTTAGAGGCAGATAAAACCAGCTATGGGAGAGGTGTAGTCTACCTGACCCCTGTCCCTCTCGCTTCTCACTAAGCCACATTATTATCTGGGCATCTTCAAATACAATTGGAAAACCATTCTTATTGAATGATCTTGAAGAGCTGAAGGAGGAATCATAATCATTTTAATTAAGTAGAGAAGGAACTAAGTACAATATTCATTTTGGTTTGAGGGTTTGAATATAGGGAATATAAATTTGGAACAGTAGTAGTGGTTATAGGATGTATTATGGAGATGCCTTAATTACATTTGGAGGAAAGTCAGATATGGCGTGGCTTTTTTGTAGACAGCAGTAAAGCTGTGTTGTATTTGGTTTGCTGAGTATAGAAGTTTGCATGTGCTTTCCATGTGGAAAAAAAAAGGCTGTCAGGCTGAGAGTACCAAATTATTTTTCCATTGTTTGCAGGTGGACTCTGGTGGGCATACCTCTTTACTAAGGTAGTTTCCCTAAGTGGCACTGACATGTGACTTCCTGAACTCTTTGATTTTTACCACCTGTGTTTAGGCAAACAGCCCAGCTCAGAATCAGGCTTCTGATTCAGTTGCCAGGTGTTAAGCTTTTCAGAGGCAGCCATCATCCAGCAGGTCTGGTAGCATACTCAGTTCCTGCTATTCATCTGCCCCTACGGTTCCCCTCTTTTATTGCCCTCATTTGCGAAATAAGCCACCTCTGCTGGTAGCTGTCTGAGCTGAGGTGGTCCGGTCATGCAGCAGGTCGTTTCCCTAAATTTCCTGAGCTTGGGGAGATAGAGCCTACCTTGGAGTGAAGTGGCTAAAAGGGAGAGAATAGTAGACTCAGGAAAGATTCTCAGATCTAAAAGAGCCTGAGAAAACATTGCTAAAGTAGACAAAGGGGAGGGTGGGAATTTTTTCCTACTACATGCTCCACCTCCCCAATTTGATTTTCACACCTTGTTTAATTAATTAATTAATTTTAAAAAGATTTTATTTATTTGTTTGACAGAGAGAGATACAGTGAGAGAGGGAACACAAGCAGGGGGAGTGGGAGAGGGAGAAGCAGGCTTCCCGCGGAGCAGGGAGCCCGATGCGGGGCTTGATCCCAGGACCCTGGGATCATGACCTGAGCCGAAGGCAGACACTTAATGACTGAGCCACCCAGACGCCCCACACCTTGTTTAATTTAATGACAGAAGTACAAAGTTCCCTTCTCTCGCATGAAACTCTTTTTCCAGAATTGCCATTAACAAGCGAACAACAAACCATATGAGCTGGTCCTCAGCCAAGCACTCAGGTATGGCGGCTTGTGTGTGCTGGTGACCAGTTGCACTTCATTGAGTCATGACAGTGAGGGGATGAGGGGCCCTGCAACTTCATGCCGTCTGGTTTTCCTCTTTGTCCTCGGTAGTGATAGGAGTGCAAATGAAGCCCTTTTGCCAAGCAGGGTCTATGCTGGAAATAGAGCAAGCAAGCCATTGCCTTGCTGAGCAGCTTCTCCTACAGGTGGTTTTTATCTCTGTTCCAGCAACAAGACCCAAGCCTCGAAGTCAGTTTCTACTCTTACTCAGATAGTGCATGGCTGGGGTCTTCTAAGCAGATGTTACAGTCAGAGTAAGGCAAACTATCTAGAATATGTGGGGAAACAACCTAAGACCATCAAATGTTAGTGTTAGGTTACTTGTTCACTTAGTATGATTTTCTCGTTTTGCAGATGAGGACATTGAGGCCCAGAGAGATAAAGACTCTTACAAACCTTATCTATCACATTTCCTTTTACCTTCGGAAGGTAGCTAAGTTAAAGAGGAGGAAGGACAGTTTCAGAGGAGATGGGCAGTGTAATGGCACAATAGACTACGGTCATTTCTCTTTAGTGTCCTCAGAAACGGACCAGCTTAGATCAGCAGTTGTGGAGGGTGGCTTGGATAGCTCCCCAGCTAGCCTTTTGGCATTCATGTCCTAGAACCCCAAATACCTTATTTTCTGCTAATCTCTCTGCTAAACAACGTGTTTACTACCCATGTGGTGTGATGGCTTGCGTCTGAGGATTTTGACAGCTTGCTGCTGGTATCCAGCACATTGACTGCGTGCTGAGTGGTGTCAACAGTTTCCAAGCCATTACGCTATAATTGCTCACACTCCTCTTGGCAATAGGAGTGTGTGTGTGTGTGTGTGTGTGTGTGTGTGTGTTATGGGGGCAGTATTATAAAAGGTCTGTTGATTGGGAAAACACATTCAGGAAGCAACTAAATTTAGCTCTTTGTTTAACCCAAATCTTTTCTCTTTGGAAAGCCTTTTTGAGTCCTTTGACAGTGCTGCTGTCTCCAACAATCACGGATTCTAAGACATTCCTCCAGCTTGGACTTAGCTTGCTAAATAATGCTATCCAGTGGTCACATACTTGTTTATTAAGTTTGGCTGTAAAATGTGAGATGTGTGTGAGCACTCTGTTCAGTGGTAAGAGGTTCTCAAAGAACACTGGTTAGGAGGGAGGTAAGGCTTCAAAGAAGAATCTTTGCTCAACATTCGTGTTATTCTAAAAGAAATAGGTTAGTCTAAATACTGTTGCTTATTTTGTGTAAGTCACTCTAAGATCTTGTATTCGTTATTAAGCTGTATTAGGAAGGGGCGCCTGGGTGGCTCCTTCGGTTAAGTGTCCGACTCTTGATTTCAGCTCTGATCTCAGGGTCCTGGGATCGAGCCCTTCATGGGGCTCCAGGCTCAGAGGGGAGTCTGCTTGAGACTCCCCCCCTCATATGCACATGTGCACACATGCGCTGTCTCTCAAATCTTTTTTTTTTTAATCTAAAAATGGTGTTAGGAATGGAAGGATACCATATATGCCTGGAGTCCAGTGGTGTGGATGTTAATTACACTGGATGTTGAGAGTCAGGAGAGGTCCTGAAGGCTGGGCTGATCAGGAACAGCTTCACAAAGGGAGCAGGACAGAAGCCTTGAAGCGTGGGCAGAATTTCACTAGGCAGAGAGAAAGAGGAGATGTGTGGGTAGGCTGGTAGTTGCTGGTGAATAGTGTGAGTAAATGGCCGTGTGGGAGATTGGCCATCATCTGGTTTGGCCAGGAGGGAGAGTGTTTGTGTGGGAGAGTAGCAGGAATTAAATAAGCTTTGGACCACAGAGCACAGAGCCTTGTGTGTGTATGCTATCGTTGTCCTATGCCATAGGGAACAGCTGAAGGATTCTGAAAATGACAGGATCCCAGTCTCTTTTAAGAAGACATAGTCTTTTTTTTTCTTTCTTTCTTTCTTTTTTTAAGTGTATCCATTTGACAGAGAGAGAGAAAAAACACAAACAGGGAGTGGAAGGCTGAGGGAGAGGGAGGAGCAGTCTCCTTGCAGAGCAGGGAGCCCAATGCGGGGCTCGATCCCAGGACCCTGGGACCACGACCTGAGCCGAAGGCAGATGCTTAACCGACTAAGCCACCCAGGCGCCCCAGGAAGATTCAGAGTCTTCAGGAAGACTGGTCTCATGATAGATTTCAGGGTGGAATGAGAGGAGAGATACCAGAGGAGGAAGACTAGGTTCATACATAACTAATGTACCAGAGGTTTGGACCCCTGAATGGAAAGGAAGACAAAGGTGTGAGAGAAGTGATGAAGGGGAATTTGATGGTTGAAAGCAGGTGGAAAAGAGAGTGGAAGATTCAAAGGCATTGAACCTGTGGGGCAGGAAGAATGGCACTGAGAGTCTAATTGTCGTTAGATTGCCTGTCTGTAGCGAGCCAAGTCTGCATGGTTTTGTGATTTCCCTCCTGCGGTGCTTTGTGGCTGAGCTTGGAGAAAGCAAATAGTAGAGTTACCACACTGAGAGAGAGGTCAGGGAGTTATTAAAAGCTTCAATGAGGAGGCTTCTGTAGAGTCAGAGAATGGAGTTATGTAGCCAAATGGGGGCTACTGAGCCTGTTTCCTTATCTGTAAAGTGGAATAAAATTGTCAATTAAATGAGATCATGTGGAATAGCAGCTAGTACAATGCCCAGTTTATGATTGTTAGTCAGTTTTTGACTTCAAATATGAATTGCAAAGGCTGCCTCAGTAAGGTTATTTCAAAGCATCGACATTTATAAAATTTATACTATGTGTGAGGCACCATTCTAGATCCTCTGGGTAAGCCATTGTCACCCCAGGGGCCTTACAGAGTAACTA